AGATTCAGCCAGACATTTGAACCTCAGTCAGACCCAGACTCAGATGAGGAGTCTATTATGAACAAATCACCATAATATCATGATGACATAATGTTGCATTACAAACAATGACAATGAATGAGTCCCCCAAGAATAAATCTGTGACTATATAAAACTGCAACCAAGAAAGAAATCTTCTTTGCTGGATATCAATTGCCAACAAAGACGTAAGAAAAAAAATACAAAGACCAATGAACTACAAGACTCAGAAAGCGGGTATTACTGAATGAAAATGTACAGTATAACGACTATTTTTGGTCAAATTCAAAATATGTGATTTTCTTTCACCTTTGATTTTTATTTTTGTTGATTTACTCTTCATTGTCTTGTAAAAGCATGAAGGTGATTTTGGTTAGTTGTAAAGTCACTTCTGTCAATGATTTCTGATGTTTGTTCTTTCAGGCTGATGGAAAACTACACCTACAACAGCCTCACCCTCCAGCTGGAGGGGTTGAATCTCTCAAAGGACTCTGTCTACCCGGTCTTTCTCTTCTTCTTTCTCTCCTATCTGTTTATATTGGTCACAAATGTAGGCATTGCTGTTCTGGTTTTCATTGACAAGAACCTTCACCAGCCGATGTATCTCCTGTTTTGCAACCTGCCATTTAATGACATACTTGGAAACTCTATCATGGTGCCTCGTTTGCTCATAGATGTGCTACGGCCTCCCTCTGAACGTCTCATTAGTTATTATGAATGTTTGGTCCAAGCTTTTACCTCACACATGTTTGGTACCACCACTAACACTGTGCTCATGATTATGGCCTTTGACAGATATGTGGCCATCTGCAATCCCCTGCGTTACGCTGCCATAATGACCAACAAAATGGTGATCAAGTTGACAGTTTCTGCCTGGGGAGTGGCCTTTGTTCTGGTCGGGATTCTGCTCGGTCTGACCGTAAGACTGAACCGATGCAGGAGTATGATCATGAATCCTTACTGTGACAATGCCTCCCTGTTCAAACTCTCCTGTGAGAGTGTGTTCATCAATAATGTGTATGGCCTCACTTTTACTGTAGTCCTGTTTACAGCTTCTATAGGCAGCATAGTTCTCACCTATACTAAGATTACTGTCGTCTGTCTGACCAGTAAAAACAAGACTCTGAACAGTAAAGCTTTGAAGACCTGCAGCACTCATCTGGTTGTGTATCTGATCATGGTGTTTAGTGGAATGTCACTCATTGCTCTGCATCGCTTCCCAGAGTACGCAGACTACAGAAAACTCTCCAGTATATTGTTTCATATCATCCCTGGCAGCCTAAACCCCATTATTTATGGTATGCAGTCCAAAGAGATACGAAAATTCTTATCAAAATTGTTTGAGCCCAAGAAAATTTTGCCATAACAACAAACTTTCATTCTTACATTTAACTACAGAGATAACATTATATGTGAACTTACAGTGCCCTACTTTATTCCATGTCCATATGTTTGTCGACTGCTTAGTAATAATACGGTCATAATACCAACCAATACTGTTGTTATGCAATTCTAATTATAAGCACTTGATTTCCAAAACTGTCATTATTACAAAGAGATGCCATTTTTCACAACCCAAAATATTTCATGTCGTGAAATGTTGTGCTGAAAATAACCACATGTCACACTCTCTCGTTAAGTGTCCATTGAAAATACATAATAAAAGCAAAATTGTGGTGAATACATTTTATTATGAACAACCGTGCTTTTACTGTCAAGTCAGATTTCTGTTAGAGGAAAGTCCTGTTCATGATTTTCAATTAGCTAGTTGATGGTGAAGAACTTGAAAACATTTAGCGCGTAAGTACGCTGTATAGCCTTTGTCCATCATAACTTATTTGATGGAATGAGATTCCAGCACTCTGGAATTGATTGAATGCTTAAGAGATTCCTACTCTGTGTGTCTTTCCCCTAACTCTAAACCTTATCCCTAACTTCTTATCTCTGCCAACTCCAGAGGTTTGAACTTAACGTTTACCATGACTTATTCTGCGACAATCAAATTTCTTGTAATGAATTTCCAAAACTTACATTACATATGAAGGGTGCCTAAACAGTATTCATTTTACTTCTCTACCACCAATACCCAGACACAATGTAGGCTTCTTTAGGACTTTGTGGAAATGCTCTCTATAATATCAAATGACAGTATTTAAGTAACTATGTTTATAGGGAGGTAATTTGTGTACCTTCAGACCTCTTAATAACTGAACAACTTTGGGTTTGTGTCAACATGTGTCAAGCCCCATCCTTACTAAATGCAATACCCTTAACCTGGCAATATCGGAACGCTTAGAAGGCTTGAATGCTAGAATGTCGTAAAAATGCCCAAACTGTGAGTCATGCAATATTGTCTATTGAAAAAATTAAAAAAACGTTTACTTCCTGAGCCAAGGGCACCCGAAATAGGTTCTCTCCTTTGCAACTCTCTATGTGTACAATTCATGTTTTTGCATCCCTAAAATACTGAAACTATGCCAACAAAAGCCAAAGCTCACTGGAAGCATACAACTTCTATATCATAATTAAATAAAGACTGTAGAAGAACTGAAAACAAATGGAGGCACATACCGCTAAAGTCCAATAACATAGTCTGATAAGACTCAAGGAGAAGATAGATAGTAAGACAACTAAGTGGACAAAGCACCTAGATACTGTAGCCCAGGGGATGACTGGGAAAACAGAGAAATTGAGGAAGTGCCCATGGATGTGACATCACTGCAAACAGACCCAGAGCAACAGAAGGCTAAGACTCAACAACATTAAGCAATTCATTTCATCAGTGCCATGGTTACCACTGTCGCCTCATGGTAAAAAGGTTCCGGTTTCGAAGCTACTGGCTAACCAGGGCCTTTCTGTGTTCAGTTTGCATGTTTACCTTGTGCCTGCATGGGTTTCCTCCTGGTGCTCCGGTTTTCTCTCCACTGTGTAAAAGCTTGTAGTTTAAGTTGATTGGTGACTCTGGGTGAATGTGAACCTATGAATATGAGGATAGATACTTCAGTTTCCTCATTAATGTTCACATTTATATTCATATATCGAAAACACTCACAAATTTGAACCCAGGATGTGAAGGTCTTGACACATACAGCACAATTCATCCTTATGATTTTTTCGCACAATATATTTTTCAAAATGACTATCTGGTGAATGAGCACTTCAACATCAAAGACGAATGTTTGTGTGCAAAAAAGTAACATTTATTGACATAGGCAGGCTTGCAAAGACTAATGAACACTACTGGCCTTCTGGTGGATATTGATTTTTTAACATTAGTTTATGCCGTAATAAATGGCAGTTTAATGACATCTTCATATCTTGTTGCTGACACTGGCTCAAGTTTCCCCACTACCTCATGAACAAAATCAATCTTATCTATCACGTGACAAATACAACAAGCAAGGCTTGTAGGTTTCCCTACAACAACAATTAACAGCTCCTGCTACCTCACCCCAATTTGTTTTTGTCCAAGTAGTAGGTTAATCAATTCATATGTTTTTATAAGTATTAATCCATATCTTACATAATTGACACAGCTCATCATTGTTCCAGATCAATTGGTTAACTGAAATTGCTCCTCAGCCTCTTACAGTGCAGGACTGGCATCTCCAACAACACGTCAAATTGATCCACGGACGCCCTCAAGTAGGTTCAAAAGTGCTTGTGATACAGCTTCAACCCCTGAGCCCAAGGGTGTCACTTGGTGTTGGAAAGTGAACGGGCTCAGATGAAAAAACATTTTTTAAATGATTTTCAACATCTGTGAATTAAGGCACTGACAGATCGGTTTGAGGTCAGAGTAGATAAAATAATAAATAAATTGCATAACAGCGCATAGCCACGACTACAGAGTTGATAATACAAAAATCCTCAGCATGAAATCCACAACATCAACTCAAAAGTAACACTCATCCATATACATCACATCCACACCATGTCAATTGAACAATTCCAATTTCATATCCACTGTAGAAGGCGCCAGTGCATATCTGTCAGCCAAACCACAACAATATCCAATATCACTGAAACATTACAAAATAGAAACAACTGAAGGAATACCAATAACAAGGTTAAGCTAAAGATAACAAATAAACCTTACCTTTAAATGTTAAGTTGAGCTGCCTTGTTGTCTTGATGCTTTATTTGTAATGATAGAGAAACACAGTTCACTAGAGTTCATAAGTTCAAGTTCAGCCAAGCATGACTCATTCTAAGCATGAGGCTTAAAAAGTGATGTGTGAGAACATTTACCTTTTCCAGTTTTCTGGCCTCGAACCTTGGTTGGGAGCACACTGAGAAAACAGACAAAGAAATATCACTTTAATTATCTCACAGCTAAAAAGTTGTATATTGCAATTTAACTTTATAATGATCTCCTTATGTTGCATCATACTTTACCCAAGGTAATAATAATCAATTCCCCTAAAGACGCAACCATTTCTATAAAACATTGCAACACAGAGCTTGACTGGTGCTGTTGGATATTATCAGCAGTGGGGAAACAAGAAAGAAAAGCAAGATTGAAACCAAAGATACTATAAGTAGCTATTGCTGATCTACAACTTCATCTGTCTTTCATAGTTTTCATATAATTTTTCTCAGAATGTTGTTTAGTTTTTAATGTGAAGAACATTTACCTCTTCAGCCTTCAATGTTATAACTTTGATGATTTGCTGAACCTGCTAAGATGATACTTCTGTTATTGGGAGAGGGAGGAAATTCAGCTGAATATACAAAACAGAGCAGAATACACACAACATACCAAAAGTGGAGGGGGTTACAGATACATAGAAATATTATGCAAGACACAATTTATTTTACAGAAACTATATACTGTACAATACATTTCCCTCGGATCTGTGGAAAACTTAACATTTTAATTTAGCTGTGCAATCATGACTCTCTCAGAATTTGTTCTATGATAGATGGATTTAATGACATTACCTGTGGCATTAACATCGTTGTTTTGTCCTTTCAGCTTAATGGAAAACTACACCTACAACAGCTTCACACTCCAGCTGGAGGGGTTAAATGTCTCAAAGGATTCAACATATGCAGTGTTTATTTTTCTTTTATTCTCCTATATATTGATAATGGTCACAAATGTAGGCATTGCTGTTCTGATTTTCATTGACAAGAACCTTCACCAGCCTATGTATCTCCTTTTTTGCAACCTGCCACTGAGTGACATCCTTGGAAACTCTATCTTTTTTCCTCGTTTGCTCATAGACATGTTGCGTCCTCCTTCTGAACGTCTCATCAGTTATTATGAATGTGTGGTCGGAGCTTTCACCACACACATGTTCGGCACCACTTCTCACACTGTGCTCATGATTATGGCTTTTGACAGATATGTGGCCATCTGCAATCCCCTGCGTTACGCTGCCATAATGACCAACAAAATGTTGGTGAAGCTGACAGTTTCTGCCTGGGGAGTGGCCTTTGTTCTGGTCGGGATTCTGCTCGGTCTGACCGTAAGACTGAACCGATGCAAGACTATGATCAGAAGCCCCTACTGTAACAATGCTGCACTGTTCAAACTCTCCTGTGAGAGTGCATTAATTAATGATGTGTATGGCCTCACTTTCACTGTAGTCCTGTTTACAGCTTCTATTGGCAGCATAGTTCTCACCTATACCAAGATTACAGCAGTTTGTCTGACCAGTAAAAACAAGTCTCTGAACAGTAAAGCTTTGAAGACCTGCAGCACTCATCTAGTTGTGTATCTGATCATGGCGTTCAATGGAATCTCAATCATTACTCTTTATCGTTTCCCTCAGTACTCAAACTACAGAAAACTCTGTTCCATTTTGTTTCATATCATCCCTTGCAGCCTCAACCCCATTGTTTATGGTGTGCAGTCCAAAGAGATACGAAAATTCTTGTCAAAATTGTTTGTGTCCAAGAAGGTTTTGCCATCATTATAGAATTAGTTTCCAAGATTTATCTGTAAATTAATACGAAGAACATAAAATGTGTACCAAGCATTCTATGATCTGGTGTTTGTTGCTTGTAAGTAAGTGTATGCACAGATACTGTATTATGGTCACTCTATTATTACAGTTGATCAAGGAGTAATATGTTGTAAGAATAGGGCAAAATAATACCATGACAATTATTTATATGTTAACCTGCTAATAGCTTGACATTAACATTTGGAATATTGGTAATGTTGGGGGATCATTTATATGATATTATAATATCGTTTTGGGGCAGACCATGTATATTGGGTAACAATAGGCCTATGTGCTTATAAAAATCAGGTTATATCACAGTAATATTCCCTCGAAGTGTATAATCTTTACTATTATCTTGATGTAAATGAAGTATATAAATAAATATTATGCTAACAACAATGAAGAAATATTATGTCAATTTTTTCACAATACATGTGGAATTATATCAGAGTAAAACTACACAATCACAAGAAATTCATGATAAATTATCACGGTTAATTACCAGAAAATACGCTGCAATACACAATCTTACCTTATTACCTGTAGTGAGAGATAAATAAAAGAATACATTAATGGAAAAGCAAATGGTTCATTCTTAATTATTTTTCTACCAAATCATCAGCAATTATTTTCTTCTACCAAAATGAGACAGGGTTTGTTTAGCCTTAAAAACACTAACTCTAGTATTAATGGAAAATGAAAAATGTCAGTGACATTGGCACTTAACTGTGGCCATGAGAATAATGATATAATGGTAAAGTAAAACATAAATGTGATGACTAGCTTTCAACTTTGGTCATCACAAGGCCAATATTCTGCTAAATACATCAGTAACATTAGCTTCTAATGTTGGCCAACGCAAGGCTAATAAACCATAACTATGCAATTTCAGTAGCATTAGCTGCTAACTATGACCATAACAACTCATAGGTAAAATGAAACAAATATCATTAGCATTAGCTGCTAACTATGACCATAACACAAATGTCAGCAACATCAGATGCCAACTATGACCATAAATAAAAAGGTAAAATGAAACAAATGTCAGTAGCATTAGCTGTTAACTATGACAATAACAAATCAAAGGTAAAATGAAACAAATGTCAGTAGCATTAGCTGCTCACTAAGACCATAACACAAATGTCAGTAGCATTAGCTGCTAACTATGACCAAAAATCAAATGTAAAATGAAACACATGTCAGTAGCATGAGCTGCTTATACCATCAGGTTGCTTGCTGTCGTCTTTGTGTTGTCTTGAGCAAGTGCCAGGTGAAACAGAAGAGGTTATGAGATTTTGGTAAGTGGGATTTTTACTGGGAATTGACATTACAAGTGAGATGCCACGCATCGCAAAATGTTCAGTCCGTTAAATCCGCTCTAACTCTGACCTCGATTCAGCTGTCTCTGTTTCAGCAGCTCCTGATAAAACTGAGAGGAGAGCAGCTGGACAGTGACTGCGAGACTGACTCACAGTAGATATTTCCTAAATAAGTAATTGACTGATTAACTTATCTTATCTGTAGGTTTCATTTGCCATTGAATTGCAGGTCTGCAATGTATTGTGTTGCTCAGATGTTTAATATAGCAGTTCCCAACCACTCTATTCCAGCACATAAACAGTAAGTGAAACAACACGATCAAGCAGTATACTTGTTGCAATAATTTCATAAAAATCCTTCTTGAAACTAAATTAATTCACATGAACAACATTGCATTATATTTTCACTTAATTACAGCACTTTTACATCGTGTTAGACAATACTGTTGTATGCCTTTCCACTATATCTACGTGCCAGGAGTCTCATGTTAACTCATGATAACAAAGGCTAATGCTAAAGTTAGCTCATTTTGACACAACAAACGTTTGCTTACCTTAAATTCCTTGCAGATATTATAAAATGTGTATTTAGATCCTTCTCAAGGCTTTAAGTTATAGTCATCTCTGCCCATTAGCTATCAGTGATCATTATGATCTAACTGGGTTAACATGTTACACAACACCCTGCTGCTCTCCTACTGAACTGTAATTAGCCGAGTCATCTTCAGCTAAACTAGCAAAAATATTAACTTTAAAAACTTACCTTTAATTTGCCAGCTCCTCTATCCTGAGTATGTTTGATGGTCTGTTGAAAAGCCTTGACATCACTCCACTCAGTTAACTCCATCTGCTCCTCACAACTGTAAATGGCAGACCTACTAGCAAAACGAAGGCTAATGTAGCTAATGCGCTAGCAAACAATTAGCCTATGTATTTTCACATCCAGAACACTGAATTTAGTATTTCAGTTGTTAGCCTAGCCACCTGGTGAATAAGTCACTCTTCTTGTTGCTGTCTCCAGCTCTTGAGACAAATATCAGTCAGTCTGAAGGATTTTTTGTTTGTTTGTTTGTTTGTTTACCACCAGCTCATTGCTAATGTGCCCTGTCTGCTGTTTGGTGCAGGACTGGGCTGATCACTGCTTCTTTCCTGTAATGGCACCATGTCAACTTGAGCTTATTCTTTTAACTCTGCAATTTTTTACACTTTGGAAAATCAAGTATGCTGATTTCGTTTTTAATTATTCTTGTTTGGTATCTTAGCTAGGTTTTCTGTGGAGATAATTCAGGCTGAGAGATATTAACTGGCATGAAGCAACCCCCATGTCCTTTACACCACACGACCATTAGGGGCACAGTTTACTACATTGATAAAAAGGCCTGTATGATCACATCTACAAGGACGTGACTAATTGAACAACTCTCTTCACTCATGGTGTAACATGTTCTTTTCCCATAAAGAGACTTTAAACTACCAGAACAATAGAGAGTATTTCCCCTAGAACAATAACATCATGCAAAGATAACATGTGGAACACCATCTATTCATTTCATGTCCATAGACATATCACCTCAAAGCATGCTGGGAAATCCCACCCACTTATCCCCAACATGCTACACTATGTTTGACTTGATTTACTGACAACTGTCACTGAATTACTTTGATACTGAAAAAAAACCCATTAAATTATGATGATTCTGATGCAATTCTATCGTTATTCTATCGTATCATTTTTTTCTAAGTGAGTGAAATTGATGTTTGGTTCACTTACAATGGACTTTAGAGGTACAATAATAAGGTGTTCTGTATGTGTAAATCACACTGAATCTAAAACTATCAGTATCATTTATGTGGGTTCATTAGGGGAGCTTCAGTATGTTTTGTTGGCAAAATGTTGAAGCCTATGACAGGTGTTTTATTTTTCCTTAACATTAGATTTATTGAAGGTAAAGTTAGGAGCTAACTGCTTCCAACATTTGTTTTATTTTATCTCAACATTAGATTTATCACAGCCAAAATTAGCAGACAATGTCACTGTCATTGTGTGTAAATTAGTTTAATGTTAACATTTTGAAGACCAGTTACCAGCTAACATTACTACTCATTGCCAATGCTAGCAGCCATTTTGTCACTTAGCTTGATTTTAGCATTCAGTCCGTTTGCTCTTTGCTCTCATTACCTATGCTTTTGTCTCTGCCAGCTTTTGACAAACACTGGGTATGTAGCTGCAATATGATTCACATCATAAGTATGGATTAGTGCAGTTTTAGGTCTTGTGATGACACGGTGGAAGCTAATGTAAACAAATATAAGCTCTACGTTAAGATAGCTATTCTCAAAGTAATGTATACTTTCCGATGGTCAAAGTAAGCAGCTAATCTTACTGACATCATGTTATTAATTCATTAATGTTATGTTCAATTAATCAAATCAATTTTATCAATGATTAAGTTCCAACTTAATCTTATAAAGATTAAGTTTTAGGGCAAGTGAGTGTCTCAGAGCTTAAAGCTAACATAATCTCATTAATGATCCCTGATGTCATGATGTCAAATCATTGCATTACAAATTGTCTGAATGAGTCTCCTGAGAAAAGAACTGTGACTATATAAAACTGCAACCAAGGAAGAAATCTTCTTTGCTGGATATCAACTGCCAACAAAGACGTAAGAAAGAAAATACAAAGACCAATGAACCACAAGACTCAGAAAGCAGGTATTACTGAATGACAATGTACAGTATAATGACTATTTTTGGTAAAATTCAAATATTTGATTTTCTTTCCCCTTTGATTTTTATTTTTGTTCATTTACTCTTCATTGTCTTGTAAAAGCATGAAGGTGATTTTGGTTAGTTGTAAAGTCACTTCTGTCAATGATTTCTGATGTTTGTTCTTTCAGGCTGATGGAAAACTACACCTACAACAGCCTCACCCTCCAGCTGGAGGGGTTGAATCTCTCAAAGGACTCTGTCTACCCGGTCTTTTTCTTCTTCTTTTTCTCCTACATTTTTATAATGTTTGTGAATGTAGGCATTGCGTTTCTTGTTTTCATTGACAAGAACCTTCACCAGCCGATGTATCTCCTGTTTTGCAACCTGCCAATCAATGATATTGTTGGGAATTCGATCATGGTGCCCCGGCTGCTGGTAGACATGTTGCTGCCTCCCTCTGAACGTCTCATCAGTTATTACGAGTGTGTGGTCCAAGCTTTCACCACACACATGTTCGGCACCACTTCACACACTGTGCTCATGATTATGGCTTTTGACAGATATGTGGCCATCTGCAATCCCCTGCGTTACGCTGCCATAATGACCAACAAAATGGTGATCAAGCTGACAGTTTCTGCCTGGGGAGTGGCCTTTGTTCTGGTCGGGATTCTGCTCGGTCTGACCGTAAGACTGAACCGATGCAGGAGTATGATCATGAATCCTTACTGTGACAATGCCTCCCTGTTCAAACTCTCCTGTGAGAATGTGTTCATCAATAATGTGTATGGCCTCACTTTCACTGTAGTCCTGTTTACAGCTTCTATTGGCAGCATAGTTCTCACCTATACTAAGATTACTGTCGTCTGTCTGACCAGTAAAAACAAGACTCTGAACAGTAAAGCTTTGAAGACCTGCAGCACTCATCTGGTTGTGTATCTGATCATGCTGATCAGTGGATTTATTGTCATTATTCTGCACCGTTTCCCTCAGTACTCAGACTACAGGAAACTGTCTGCCATCTTGTTTCACATCATCCCCGGCAGCCTCAACCCCGTTATTTATGGGGTTCAGTCTGCAGAGATCTGCAAATCCTTATCCAAATTATTCAGATCCAAATTGGTTCTGCCATTTTTCTGACGTAAGAATTTTAAAGTTAGCATGCAAACCTGCCAACAACACATTTAATAAAAGTGAAAAATTATCAAATTTAGACTAAACTGCCGTATTGTATTTCAAATTATAATGTTCATTTATATTCATTGATTTTGCTGAGATTTGTGCATCATGACAACTGGTTGGTTGGTTTTGAATTTCACCCACTGAAGCTGAATGTTTGCATTTTAGTTCACATAAGAAATTAGATCATTTGAAAGAGAATTGTCTCTTTAAAGTATAATTTTCACTTTTCTTGGTGTCCAGATAGTTAATTTTTCTTGCATATTAAATAAAATATATATACGTGATATTTATCTCATACGTTATATTTTGGAAGGCTTTTTTAAATGTTGATTTTTTTCTTGATCAGTTATCATAAAGGCCACATGTTTGGGTTAATTACTGTATAATCTAGTTTCTGTAATAGGGTGGGATGGAGACCATTTTTGTTTCTCTGTGTGTCACAGCCTCAACGAACTTGAGAACACTTTTATTTTAGGAGGAAAGGTAAGTGAAAGTGTCAGTGACTGAGTGTTAGAGGCTGCAGGGCTCAGATGGTGTAACGAGGAATGAGACAGCCCTTATATCACATTACCTTGATGACGTCAAAATATTTGCGGGTTTGGGACTTTTGATTGTACATTTTTATTCCCTCCCTTCACTTCCTGTTTGAAAACAAGAAGATTATCGTTGATCAGATCTGATCCAATTTGGATATTTGGAATTTGTCATCATGTGATCACAGGACAGAGAACTCCACAGTTCAGTCTCTGACTCACAGTGACTCTGTGTTTATACTGTCTGTTCTTCTAATGCTAACGTTAGCGTTCTTCTATCTTATTATTTCTTCTGTTTTATGGCCGTTGTTTGCCGTTGTTTCCAGGCGTCCCTTGGTAACCACGGCAACCCGGTGTTTAATGTCACAATGCTATGAACTTTGGGTAATTTCCTCAGGCAAAGTTTACAGAAATTCAGTCTTACAGAGTGTGAATAAAGAAGTCAAAATGTCTGATAGAGAGACTCGTGCCCTCGATGGTTTGACAGTGGATCAGAACTCTTGATATAATCCGACTAAAACTGGACTTGTATCATGAATTTCTCTTTTTTTTTTCACTGTAGATGCTTCCCATGGGACGTATTATCCATAGACATATGATTTCTGTCACTGTCATGCCAATGACACGCAGATGGACCGACCAAGTTCAAGTTTCTGATCCTGGCCGGTTAGGGTTGGAAACACATCAGAGAATCATGATGTTTGGTTTGATAGTTACTTCAGCTTCCAGCAGAACACCACAAAACATGTCCAGTCTTGTTTTTATCATCTTTAAAATATTTCCAAAATACAACAAAAATGTATTTTACAACAGCTTCAAACAACAATCTATTAACTGGCTCCAAACTGATTCAGCCCACAGGTTTATATATAATATGAAGATACAAGACAAGATTTTTATTTACGACACCAACTGGCATGATTACTTTTATTTGCTTTTTACACTTAGAAATTGTTTTTATGAACATGTTGTTTAGAAAAATTACTCTCTAATTAAAGATTATTTTTTATTATTATTATTATATGTGTGGATGACTGAATTTGTCTGAAAAAAATCTATTAAACATATAAACTGTAGTAAAGAGTGAACAAATACTTGCAACGGACAAAACAAACATTTGCTTCTGTTATTTTCTGACATTTTCTACATGAGGTTTGAGAGTTATTTTATATTTTACATTTTATTTACGTTTTGTTTATTTATTTACTGCTGGCTGTCAACGTACTGCCTCTTGGGGATAATAAAGACTACCTTGAATTTTCGTTCAATCACTATCCAGAGCTCGTGTCCATCGGTGAGTCCAACACTCACCAAAAACATGTTTCACATTGTGCCAAGAATACGACCACAACCTTCATTTTGGTTCTACAGGGATGGAATGGCTCATAACAATGGTCCTGGTGCCACAGAGCCCCCGGGGGTCATACAGGTAAAACATGACACCTATGTGCATGAGACATGAGGCTTATATGGGAGGTGAATGTAGTGCACCTGTATTGCAGGTGTGCTGGACTGTGCTGTAACCAAGTGGCAACATCCTAGAAACAGAAACATAAAGCATCAACATGCAGAACCAGAAGCTGCAGTTCCTCTAACGACCACTAGAGTCTGGCTCCAACAGTGAGTCAGTCCCCATAGACTCCCATGTTAAAATGTCCAACTTTACAGCAGAAATAAACATGTTTACAGCCTGGTACAAAAACTGTTTTGGTCTCTAGAGATCTAATTTCCTCCTTCATGACACCTGTTTATATAACTCACCTGTTTACATTTAATTAAGGACTACAGTTATGGAGGATTGAGGGCGTGGCCTCTTTGAGTGACAGGTGGGTGAATGTACGTACCATTTTTAGATTATCTGGGAGTTAGGAGGCGGAGTCAGACACTGCCAAGATGGTGGCAGTGGAGCAGCTCACTCTGAGCTTCATAAACCTGTAGGTGACTTCCATCTTTATTAACAGTCTATGGCTGTAACTGGGTGAAGGAGCGAACAGAGTTTTTTTCATGAAGATGTTTTAAAGTAAAAACTAATGTAACAACGTTGATTATTTATGAAAATGAAAAAGGTAAGAAAAGACATGAAACACAAATGTGACGAATAAAAAACTGAAGTCATGGTCTATGTGCTGCTTCGTTTCTCTTTCATTCAGTTTACGACATGTCAAACTAAAGCAAGGTGTCTGTCCATGTATTTCTACCTGATGACCTTGTTGATGGTTTACATGAATCCCCTGAAGGTTGCGTAATGTCTGAGGTGATGTTTACCCCTCCCCCCTGAGGTCAGCCATGTTCATAAAACCAGTGGACATGATTACACAGCAGAGAGAGGACGCTGGTGGCAAAAAGGTGAACACAGTCGAGCTGTCTGTGAACTGAGAGTGACGATGAAACGTTACGTGTTGAGCTGATATCAGATTGATGTGTTAATTGCCTTTGAGTTTCCTGTGAATGATCGTGTTTCTGTTTAATGACAGTTTGTGTGACTCATGCTTTTTCCCTCCTCTCTTGGTGTTTTACTTCAGAGAAGCTCAGATGGAAAACTACACGTACAATAGCCTCACTCTTCAGCTCGAGGGGTTAAAGGTCACCAAGACTAACAAGTTCCCGATCTTTGTCTTTCTGCTTTTGATCTACGTGTTCATCTTAATTGCCAACGTGGGCGTGGTGGTGTTGATATGGACGGAGAGGAGCCTGCACCAGCCGATGTATCTCCTCTTCTGCAGCCTGTCCATCAACGATGTCATGGGAAACTCTCTCCTGGTTCCCCGGGTGCTCGCCGACATCCTGGTGCCGCCCTCCAAGCGCCTCATTCATTATTACGAGTGTCTGATGCAGGCTTTCACCACACACATGTTCGGCACCAACGCTCACACTGTGCTCATGATTATGGCTTTTGACAGATACGTGGCCATTTGCAACCCCCTGCGTTACGCCACAATAATGACTGATAAAATGGTAATGAAGCTGACAGTGTCTGCCTGGGGCGTGGCCTTTGTTCTGGTGGCGGTTCTGCTCAGCCTGACCATACGTCTGAACCGGTGCAGGACACTGATCACAAACCCGTACTGTGACAACGCCTCCCTGTTCAAGCTCTCCTGTGAGAACGTGTTCATCAACAACATCTACGGCCTCACCTTCACCGTCGTCCTGCTCTCGTCCTCCATCGGCAGCATCATCCTGACCTACTCTAAAATCACAGCGGCCTGTCTGACGAGTAAGAGCAAGTCACTGAACAGTAAAGCCTTAAAGACCTGCAGCACTCACCTGTGCCTGTACCTGATCATGCTGGCGAGCGGCTCGATCCTCATTACGCTGCATCGCTTCCCCGAGTACGCCGAGTACAGGAAGATCTCGGCCATCCTCTTTAACGTGGTCCCTGGCAGCCTCAACCCCGTCATCTATGGCCTGCAGTCCCAGGAAATACACAAGTGTCTGTCCAACATATTCCAGCTCAGGAAAGTGAAGCCATGCTTTCTATGTAAATGAGTGAATGAGAGTTTCATGTGTCAGGAACAAAAAACAGTCGACACAATCAAACTGAACCTTTGATGAAACCGTAACAAAAACCAAGATTTTACTAACGTGTATCAAACAGGACCGTTACCTGTGACATCTGGTACAACAGTGAACCTGTTTGTCCAAAAGATGACGAGAAAGGAAAGGGACATTTGGACAATATATACTGTATATATATATATGTGTGTGTTGAGATTTCACTGTGTGTACGACTGAATGAAAAACACTATTCTGTTGTTTTTCTTTAATGTATGTGACGTCTCTAAACCTTTGTTAAGATATAAAACATAAAATAATATGAAATCATGGGGATTCTGCACAAAGTTCCAGATGTTTGGCTCAAATGTTAAATACTGATTTTAAAGAAAGACTTAGACTTTTGTTGAACTTATTTTTATAACGTTTGATGAAAATCTGAACTATAGAAAATAAATGATTCAAATCATCTGGTTCATGAGAAACATGTTTTAGAGTTTGACCTTTGCTTTAGTGACAGAACTTCAACCACATGTGAAAGTTATCTATGATATGAAACTCATATAATTATATATGAATATAATTATAAGACACTCTTCTCTTATTATGTGAAATGCAAAAGTTGAGTTCTTCTAGATTTAAGAGTTTAAATTTTTAACCTGTTAAATTTCCAGAAAATGTCATTCCCGAGTGAAATGTGAGATTATCATCAGATTGAATTAAATTGGCCTTTTGATGTTTTATTCGACCTCGCCTCGACACCATGTTGTGGGTCTTTCCTCCAGTGTTTATCCTGGTCACACTTTTTAAATTTTATTTGAGGTTTCATGAAACAAATCACCAACACGCATATTCAGTTTCCATCACTTCACTTACATTCATTTACTGGAGCCTGAACTTAAGCCCTGACCTCCGACCCCTGACCTCAGACCCCTGGCACATGTTTGCTGTTGTGTAAAACAGGTTTAATAACTTTCAATGACTGAAGAAAATGTAGGAAATACAACTTGTGGTGTGACGTGTGAAGGTCGGAGTTAAAGGTACGATGGAGACCGACGGTCCAGCTGCTGAGTCTGGGACCCCTCCCTCAGTGGAGCAGGTCGGACCCCCGTCACCCCCCCCACACACACACACACACACACACACACACACACACACACACACATCAACTCTTCACCCTGAAGTTTAATGACCCACTTTATGAGGAATTGAGTAATACTACTACACACACACAGAAGCAATTAAAATAGAGTAAAAGCTTCTATAATGAGGAGGTTATACAAGGTGTTACCATGGCGACAAAGATAATTAAAGTTTATAGCCGCAAAGGAAACATGTGTAATTAATGATCCTCCGTCTCATTATAATCTCCATCATAATGAACAAAAAGGCTGGACGCTCTTGAAAAGGCAAAATGTGGAGCTCAGGCAACAGAGCAGCGTGAAGTCTGATTTACCTGTTCAGGTAAGACCGTGATACTCGTTTTATGAATCAGCTGTTTGCCCTTTTAAAAAGACAAATAGGAGGAAGGTGTGTTTTGTTTTGTGCAGAGCTTCGTTGAATTTAAGTTTTGCTGTGCTTGTCGTTTGTTGGCAGCACATTCGTCTCCATCCCTTCATCCCTTCATCCCTTCATCCCTTCATCCCTTGGTCTGTCTGCTGAGGAGAGATGGAGGTTTTGCTGTTTGATGTTTCACGTGAAAGTCCCAGAGGTCAGTCAGTGTTTGTGTCGTAATACAGTCTGAAACTTTGACTCTTTCTCTGTTGTTGGTGAGTTGAGACAGAGGCACATTATATTCAAAATGTCTCATTTTAAACATTTATTTATGTTTTTGCGTAAAGGTCTGATATGAGCTGCTCTTATCTTTAACGTAGCTGTAAATTCTGTTTATCTTAAGGAACTTTATTCAGTTTGAAGTTGAGTCACTTCAAGTCATTGATCAGCTTTTCTCCTGCAGATCGTTAATTAACTCCAGTCGACCGTTGTTTAATTGTGTTTCACGAATGTGACTTTCAGGGTCTGACACTCCACAGCTGTAAGAAAAGATGCATCATATCTAATCAACAACATTATAAGCAATATTATTAACTAAATACAACTAGGTTTGAAATTGAGTTATTGTAAATTATAGTTATTATTTAATATGAGTAGATTCAAATAGAGAAGAAAAAGGAATTAGTTCAAACCTAAATAGAAATATTGAGTTGATACGAAGAGAAACTTATGAGTTTGTAAATATTACTAATAAAAATGTATTCAATTCTACACATCAATGATATATGATTGAGTCTAATTAATTATTGTCAAATCATTATAATTATTTTCTTAAAATGTGTTGTGGAAGATCAGTACATGCAGAAATCACCATGAAGTATTTTTATTGCACCAAATAAGAAAACATGTTTTTATGGATGGAATAAAAAATACAGATGCAGTTCCACTTACTGAGGTTGTTTATGTTTATAAATATTATATTTATTTATGTTTCATGTGACGACTCACAAACTGAACACGGAGCAGATTTCTGAAACATGTTTATTAGTTCAAAATAATGTTTATAAATAATATAAATGTTGGAAAATTATTGTTATTATTATAATTATTATTATATTATTTGTTTCTGAGCTGTTAACAATTATACAAGGAAACATGAAAGAGTTTAAGTGTTGAAGTCATTTATTAATAATGTATTTTTCTACAATCGTAGTTCACAGTATGATTATTACTGTTTATTCTGGATGATTTATGTATTAGTTACTTAGTTATCAGTTTATTAGGAACACCGAGCTAAAACAGTCGTGTGATGAAACCATAATATGTAATATAATAATAATGTTCAGGAGGCAGCAGTCAGACGTTTGTTATTCTGTCCACCCTCTTTATAACACCTGTATAACAGACACCTGTCACCTGACTGATTCACTTTTAGCTAGGTGTTCCTAATAAACTGATTTTACTTTTCTGTTCAGATTCATACCTGCCCTTGTCGACCAATCACAGATCGAGCTCTGTTAACGACACCTGGCAGCCTGATGGCGTCGATTTCTTCATCATCGAGGGCCTCGCCAACCTCGGCGAGAAGAAGATGATCGTCTTTGTCTTCCTGTTGCTAGGTTACATCATCATCCTGGGAGGAAACAGTATGATCATCTTTGTGGTAAGAACAGAGTCCTGGAATCAGCCCAGCGTGATGTCATCATCAGTGTCGTCATCGCGCTCTTCCTCTCGCAGGCGACGACGGACCCGAAGCTGGCCTCTCCCATGTACTTCTTCCTCTACAACCTGTCCCTCGTGGACATGGTCTACACCACCACCACCATCCCCAACATGCTGTCCAGCTTCCTGTCGGACGTGACGACCATCTCCGTCCTGGGATGCTTCACCCAGATGTTCGTCTTCATTCAGTTCGCCGTCACCGGCCGCGCCATGCTGACCGTCATGGCGTACGACCGCTACATGGCCATCTGCAACCCTCTGCGCTACACTGCCGCCATGACCCGCCCCGTCCAGCTGCTCCTGGTTGGGGGAGCCTGGGTGTTTGGCGCTCTCTGCACGCTGCCGGCCTCTGTCTTGGCCTGGCAGCGGCCCTACTGTGGCCCGAACGTGGTCAGACACGCTTGGTGCGACCCGTCGTCCTTGAGGCGGCTGGTGTGCGGCAACACCTCGGTGGATAACATTGTGTCCATTACCTTCGCCCTGGTGGCGATGCTGACCACAGGAGTCCTGATCCTCACCTCCTACATCCTGATTGGTGTTTCCATATCCAGAATGGGAGTGGCTCAGAGGCTGAAGGCCTTCACGACATGCACCGCTCACCTGACCGTGGTGTCCATCTCTTACACCGCCGCCTCCTTCGTCTACATTTCCTACAGGGTGGGAAACTTCCCTCCAGAGGTACGAGACTCAAATCATCTGGTTTTAACTTCTAGGTTTGGTTCAGTCCCGGTCTCGTGCGCAGCTCTGTGCAAATGTTTAGGGACTTTAGACTCGTCTCAACAACCCGGTCCAGATTCATGCTGCAGCTGGACGACGACTCCAAACACTGCAGAGACCAGGAGAACCAGGAGTCCTGCAGCACATGGTCTGGATCCCACAGAGTCCTGATCCAAGCATCATGGAGTCGGTCTGGATCACATGAAGAGACAGATGAACTGAGGCGGGTTCTCCAAGTACCTACCTGACCAGAACCTCGGAACAGGTGTACCGAGGAACGGTATATCTCCAGAACTCCTCAAAGGAATCCCTTCTCATTTGGCACAAACACTTGGACTCAAAGATGAACTGATCAGATTTTGGTGGTCAAAGGTCAAAGGTCATGGTCATTTTGACCTCAGAAACATTTTTAAGCCATTACAGACTAGTCTGAGTGGCGGAGGGATACGACCACATAACATCCTGCTTTAGTTTCAGTCCCTAAAACTTTTGCACATTGCTGTAAGACCACAGAAACCTTGTATCTCCTGTATCCAACACTATGAATTAGACTGTTTTAACATCTGATTTCTGACCTTTGAAACGTCGAGCACATGGTCTCATCTCGTGGTCCTGCTCAGCAGTTGTCATGGAGATGTTTGAGTACAGTCTGTCCACCCTGAGCTCAGTGAATCATTGTTTCTGTTCCAGGTTCGTATGATCGTGTCTGTGCTGTACTCGGCTCTCACTCCTTTCCTGAACCCGCTGATCTACAGTCTGAGGAACAAGGAGCTGAAGGACTCCATCAGACGGACTCTGAGCAGGTTCAGACCTGCAGCTGTTTCAGCCACGAAGGACGTCAGAGACGCGGCGTCCTCAGTCTGAGAGAAAAACCTCCAGACCTGCACAAAACCATGCTGAGAACGTGTATTGTTCCAGTCACTAACTCACACAGCTGAATGTGTTGAAGTCACATTAACCTGGTTTATGATCCTTTTTTATTCCCACATGAAAGAATAAACCAATAATAAATCATTTTTTTTGTCACAATGCTGTTTGAATTTGTCTCATGTTCAATGCTATTTGTTTTATTAGCATCTAACATGTTTATAAGGTTTAATTATGAATTCATTCTGTATATTTAAGTTAAATTACAAAAAATATATTTACAGTGTTCATACAGTTAATTATTTGCACATTTATGTTTAAACAAATTTGAATATTTAAATCTGCATCTTTCAAAACAGTTACAGTAACTTCCTGAATGCATCTCTCTAGTTTTCCTCCTCTTTATCTCAGTAAGTCCTCCTCGCCTTTCATTGGTTAGTTTACCGACATGTGACTCAGAGACAGGAAGTGTGGAGAGAAGTAAAGGTGGTGCCTGAAAAGTTACTGTAATACCTTGAAAGAATTTCTTCAAATTTGGCACAAACATTCACCTGGACTCAAGGACAAACTGATTAGACTTTGGTGGTCAAAAGTCAAAGGTCAAGGTCACGGTGACCTCACAAAACATGGTCTGGACTCTGGACAAACAGGGATGTGAACTGGAACTAGTCTGAGTGGTGGATTTTTCAACCACAAAATAAATGAGTTCACTGATTCTGTTGAGAGCTTTAATATCTCAAACCTGATTATAATGATTATATCCAATAATAATCATAATAACTGGGTCACCTGTGGCCAGGTATCTAAGTAGATTATAATGAAATGACAATAAATGATGTAATTTAATTTTTTTTTATTAAAATCATATTATTCAGACAAACAGTAGGAAACCTCCCGTAACCCATCTGCATCTGCAGTGACCTCCATCAAGTAGAAACTCAGGGTTTATGTGTAAACGTGACGTATAATACTAGAGGGAAAAGTCACTGTGCCATTGGACAAATGTTATGATGCTGAAAACATGACCTGTGAAATATGAGAAAATAAAACCAGATTATTATTATTAATAATTGAGGATAATTTCAGTTTGATCATCATCAGAAAAATTTAACAAAATATAAAGCTCCATATTTTCTTCTTCTGTGTTTTATTTGAAGTGTTGATCCATCAGAAGATATAAAAACCATCTCAGTGTAGTTTTACATCTCCTCTCTCAGGCTTCTCTCTGCAGCTCTAGTAACAACAGGTCGGTGAGCCAATCAGAAGAGAGGAGGCTCTGAGCCTCTCTTCTGATTGGCTGACTGTTTTCTGAGTGATCAATAAAAATAAAGCAGATTTCAGGTAAAAACACTCAGAGAAACCAAATCCTGCAAGGTTTGGATGGTGGGTCCAGGTGGGCGGGGCTTGGTGACTGCTTTGTTGTGACATCACAAAGTTCCAGAAGTCCTGACGGCTGGTTTTAAGGCTCAGTTTCTGAATACAGGCTGTGTGCATTTCTCTGTGGACTGAGGCTTTGATACTTTCACAGTATTAATATAGAAGCTAGAGCTGATCTATAATCACACTACACATGGACACAGACCTTTACACTGGAGGAGCTTTAAAGACAAACTGCAGCTTTAACATGTGAAGTTATTATTTATGGAGACTTTTCCTGTCCGTGACTTTATTCCTGTGAAACATGCTGACAATCTTGTGTTTGAGCTCTTTACACTGCAGCCCATAGATAATGGGGTTCAGGGCCGGGGGGACGACGTGGAACATGACGGACGCCACTTTCCCACTGTCTGCCCACTCGGGGCGACGGTGCATGATCATGGGGGTGAAGGATGCTACCATCATGATGATATACACGGCCAGGTGTGTGGCGCAGGTCTGCAGCGCCTTGCTGTTCAACGCCTTGTTTTTGCTGCTGAAACACATGATGGCGATCCTCAGGTAGGTGAACGCGATGCTGCAGAGGGAGGAGCCCAGGATAACCACGGCGCTGCCGAGGCCGTAGATGTGGTTGATGAGAAGGTTCTGGCAGGAGAGCTTGAACAAGGAGGCGTTGTCACAGAACGGGTTGAATATAACCCGCCTGCAGCGCGTCAGGCGGATGGTGAGGCCCAGGAGGATCGCAACGGAGATGAAGGCCGCCACCCAAGCGCCCACCGACAGCTTCACCACCATCCTGTGGGTCATGATGGCGGCGTACCGCAGGGGGTTGCAGATGGCGGTGTACCGGTCGAAGGCCATGATCATGAGCACTGTGTGAGAGGTGCCTGCGTGGAAGTGAGCGCAGAACGCCTGGACGACACACTCGATGTAATGAGTGTAGCGCTGCGTGACGGGAGTGAAGAGGTCGCTCAGCAGGCGCGGGATGACGACGGTCGCCCCGAACACGTCGTTGATATTCATGTTACAGAAGAGCAGGTACATGGGCTGGTGGAGGCTTGTCTCCATGGCGATCAGGACCACCAGGCCGATGTTGGACGCCATGATGAAGATGTAGATGAGGAGGAGGAGGATGAAGGCAGGGGTGGAGGACTGGGGGATGACCTTTAACCCTTCGATGGATATAATATCTGCACTGAAAGTTTGGTTCTCCATACGGCTGAGGGAGGAGGAGACACAGAGAAGTGTTACTGTCACCTGTCTGTCCAGGTGAAGGTGTGATAGTGACATCACCTGAGTGTCAGATATCAAAGACTGAGCAACTGAAGCCAAAACACAGAAATCAAACTAATATTTGTCCTCGAGACACAGGTTTAAAGTCGTAGCAGTCGATGTCTAATGAAAAGTGCCTGAGAAGTCCAGAAATCATCAGTTTTCCTCTACAACTTTAAATATTCATGATTAAGCAACAATCACAGTTCGGACAAACTGGAACAAACACCTGTAATTCTTTAACATGAACAGTTTGTGGGTGTTTGGTCGATGGTGACGAACGTCTCCAGTCGTCCTGGAGATCTCGACACACACACTGATGTCGGATCCGAGTGTTGATGAAGCTGTGACAGAGAAAAACATGGAAGTTAAACTGCAACTGAAATCTGACGTTTGATTATATTTGAAGTTTTGTTGTTTTCGTTTTTAAATAAAGACTTTTTTTCTTTTCTCCACGTTCACGTCAGAACAACAACCGATTGTAGTTTCTGTTATCAGTCGATGCAGATTGTTTTCTTGATGAATCAGTTCGTCGTCGGTCCGTCACTCCTGCAGTTTGGTCTAAACTCAGATTCAGTTCGTTAACACAGAGAAAAGAAGCACACTCTCACACGGGAGAAGGAAGAGCTGTGAAATGTAAAAAACTATTTGTATTATTGATTATCAACACTGATAACTGACTGATCGATCGACTAAAGACTCACCTTTGTGAACTTGTTCCCTCACATTTAAATATTGTTTATTCATCTAGTCGTTTGTTTCAGTGATTTAACTGTTAAACACTTTCTAAAGCTCTTTAAATCAGTTAGACTTTAATATTTTGATGGTTTTCTTACATTAATTAAACTTTTAAATCTGATGTGGAAATCATACAACAATGCAAAAATGATTTGATGCATTTCAATTCTCTGTCACAGATGAGATGATTCAGCCGTCAGCTTGAGATCAGCTGGTAGAGCAGAGCTGATCATGGTTGGTTTCCTCTTTTACTTTCATGTCATTTCATTTTGAAACCTTAAAACTAAAATTAATAAAATTAAAAAATAAAACCGGTTTGAAATGTTCGAAACCTCCAACAGGAAACTGTGGAGCTGGATTCACCATCAGCTGCAGCAACTGTCTCCTTCTCCTGCAGACGACGACTCACTGTGATTGGCTGGCTGAGACAGGTGACGTCCTCACCTCTACCTCCTGCAACAGAAACACACCTGTAGCCTCACTAACAGAGCGGTTCACCTGTTCAGCTCTTATTACAGATGGAAACAGTTTCATCGGTCGGCCTGGAAACAAACTGTCACTGTTAATGAGAACAAACAGAAAACAGACGTCATGTTTACGTTTGTTTCACTCTTCATTTTTGCAGCAGAAAGATTCATTTGTTCTCTGATAGTGAGATCACAGTTTTAAATGTTTGATTTTCTGACAACAGCAAGTTAATAATGTATTTAATTAGAAATAAAGTGGGATTCAGATCTAAAACTTCCCACTGCTCTTTGTGTGTGTGTGTGTGTGTGTGTGTGTGTGTGTGTGTGTGTGTGTGTGTGTGTGTGTGTGTGTGTGTGTGTGTGTGTGTGTGTGTGTGTGTCAGTGTCCAGGCTTTACCTCCTGCTGACGTGATCCTCCTGCAGCCAGAACCAGAGCCGGATTCACACACAGCTTTTATAAAGTGACAGCTCAGCCCCCACCCCCCCCCCCCCCCGTTTGCTCCGCCGTTTGTTGTGTTGCTGAACGGTTTCATCACCAGGCAACTGTTGCTGTCAGCTGTGGCCGTCACCGTCATGGAGCATGTTGTCAGTAACTTTGTGTTTGGACATTAGTTTGATCATTGGTCATTTCCTGTTTTATTTTTGTTAAGTTGAACTTCCTTGCGTATCTTCTAATCATTTACTTCCTGTCTTTGTGCCAGTTTCCCCTCCAGTTTGATTGTCTTGCCTGCCGCGGGATGTGTTTTCCACCTGTGTCTCCTCACCTGTTCTCTTGTCTTCCTCTGGACGCTCGCAAGTTTTTCGCTTTGTGTGTTTCCTGTTTGTTTGTTCCCAGTGTTTTTCCTTGAAATTTCCTTGTTTTGTTTTTTTTTGGTTTCCTGACTTGTTTATTTTGGAATTCCTGGTACTTTTTTGGTTATTTATTAAAACACACCACTCATTTCAGTTCTTCCTGAGAAACCGACGGTGTGAAATGTGGTTTGACTTTGAGCTGATACTTTTATGAGCAAAGATCAATGAAAAGAATCATAATTAGCTGTAAATCAATGTACCTTCTTATTGTACAAATGTATGAAGGGAAAACAGCGTGACAGGTAAGGATGAAAATTGAAAATGAGATGTTTGTTGACTATCAGATTTAATTAATCGGAATATTTTCAGTGAAAAGTAATAAAACTATCTGTGTGTTTTTTTTACTTCAAATCTTGTTTTTTTTGTTTTCATTCTTTACAGAGAAGTTTCCATGAACCAGGAAGTTTCTTTAAACATTGATGATGAATAAAACATTCAACATCACAGAACTAAACAGGAGCGATAATGTTTTCACTTGATTTTAATATAATATATATATATGAATGTTATATATAAAGTATATTATATACAGTTGTGTGAAAAAGTGTTTTCCCCCTCCTGATTTCTTATTTTTTTTGCATGTTGTCAACACCTTAAATGTTTCTAGATCATCAAAGACAAATTTAAATATTAGACAAAGAGTTAACACAAGTAAAACACAAAAGTGCAGTTTTTAACACTGAAAGGTTTTTATTATTAAGGGGAAAAAAAAATCCAAACCTACATGATCCCAATATGAACATGACATGAATTAAATCCTGCATCAGATGAGAAGTGCTCGTAATTCTTCTGTGTTTAATTTTCACAATTAAAACTGGAAAGTTTTTCAGGACATAGTTCTTGAAATTTTAACTTTATTATTCTTCATGTCTGCCAATGAGTGTCGAACGAAATCCTCCACAGAGACATATCCCAATGATTCATTGTGTTTTCTGTAAATGGAAAAATAAAATGTGCAGCAAACAACAGTTTGACAGAAGTCGCTGAGGTTCACGCTGTTAAAATGCAGGCTCAGTTTAGAAACAGTAAAAGCTTCTTTCAAC